TATTCTCATAAATACACTCGCTTCTCAGCTGTATAGAATTCATAATAACACCTGTAGATGAATTGATTATTTTCTTCTGCTTAAGTATCTGATGCTTTACTATTTTACTGGTATAACGAGCAGTGAATCTTGTTGCTGATGTGTCTTTTCAATTCTTTAATCCAAACTCAATTACATTCTGCAGCTAACCCAATTAGACTACTTGAACTAATCCCGAGGGAGCACTTTTTCACCAGAGAACAATACAAACCGCCCACACAAATATCCGCCCCATGACAGAACGGGGTGGGTAGTGTTAAGACCCACAGAGTTACAGGAATAGAGCAGTTTTAATGACAGTAATCGCTTTTCCTTTGTCTCTATTAGATTTTTATGTCATCCTGGATGACATTTTACAATAATGGATGCACATATGGAAAGTAGAAATGAAAGGAAAGGCTGAGCTAACTGGGGAGAAAATGACTAAATGAAGATGAGAATGTGAACTGCTGCCACTAGAACCGCATTTATTAACTGCAGAGGAGAAAAGACAGGCTGGGGACAGAGAATACAGAATAAGTTTGTGACTATTCACAGGTGATTATGTGGGTGAGAGTTGAAATCTTGTGTCTTTCACCCACTCTTCACATTGGTACCTGCTGAGCTACTTTAATTAGGGCAATGCTCTTTCTCTTATCTAATTAAAAATTTAAGAAGAAATAAATAATGCAGTGTTTTTGAAGAAAGTAGGGACTTTTTTAATGTGGCTGCAATATCGTTCTAAATCTTTTGCCGCAGTGGTGGATGTGATTTGCTAATAGGCTACACTCTACAGGATTTCTGGTTATTAAGCTCGAGGCTGCTCAAACAACATCACAGAACTCTTCTCAAAGTTGCCAAATATTCTGGGGTGGTAGGAAATACATTCACTTATGTGCTGTGTTTCAAGCACAAATCCCATTAATTAAGAGGAGCAATTAATGGGGAAATCCACTGGCACAGACACAACCAGGCACATCAAAGTATGTTTACAGGTACTGCAGTCAGCTCCTGGAGGCTACATAAACCGGTGTAATCATAAAGTTTTTGCTTTGAGCATGAGTGGACATTTCAAGCAAAAAAACTGTTCAATCACTGTGAACTGTTTGACTGTTGTTCAAAGGTCCCTACTCATGTACCTCAGGGTTAAATGACTGTGCATAGTTAAAGTAGGCCTTTTACCTGTCATGGTTTTACCATTCTTCCGCCCATTTTCTTCTACTGTCCAGGTCGGACATTTGGGGGTATCAATCTAAGCCACAGGTGTCGAACTCCAGGCCTCGAGGGTCGTTGTCCTGCTTGTTTTTCAACTAACCTGCCCTTGTAGCTTCTTATTTGCAAACCACACCTGATCCAGGTAATCAGCAGCAGGTAGGGCAGGGATGATCTCTCCACCTATTCCAGGGGGAGAGATCATCCAAAGCCAGCCAAGAGATGGACACACCTAACCTAGGAGGCATCCTGGTCAGATGTCTGAACTACCTGGCTCCTTTGAATCTGGAGGAGTTGGAGCTCTAGTCTGAGTCGCTCCCAAAAACAGAGAGCTCCTCACACTACCTTTGAAGCTGAGTACAGGCATCCTTCAGTGGAAGCTCATGTCAGCCACTTGTATCTGCAATCTTGTTCTTTTCATCACTAGTTTATGACTATAGAGTGAGGGTAGGGACATAGATTGATGGTAAATTGACAGCTTTGCTTTCATGCTCGACTCGATCTTCACCATAACACATCACCAATTTGCCTGTCAGTCTCCTCGTCCTCTTTCCCCTCACTGGTGACCAAGACCTGGAGATAGTTGAATGCATCCACTTGGGACAGCATCTTGTTCGCGCTCCAGAGCGGGCACTGCATAAATATTTGTGTGTTTTAACTACTTTAGAAGTCTTTGGATTTGAACACTTCTCCTGACTTTACATTAGCATCTCAATGAACCCCACCTTTTACTGTTCCAGCTATTACTAATGATATGTAGTGAGTGTATGTTAATGATGAAAGCAACTACTGTGATGTCACGCATTGTTTTTGGATTCTACATTTTGAAGCTTCAATGTTAGCTACTTAGTCGCCACTGCCATGTTAGCTTTTTCAAGCAAGTAGTTAACATATTTGTACAAGAAGGTGATGCACTAACTATTGCAAGCTAATGCTAGCTAGCTTGGTTAGGAAGCTCCATTCATAAACTGTTGAGAGACAACACACAGACATACATATTTGCTTATTAGTGCATAGTAACTAATAAAATGATCGAATTTCACTTATCAAAACTGAACACCAGACTTCTTGAATAGTCTGTATAATGCAGCATGTTAAAGTATTGGTCAGCTAATTAAATTAAAGGTTCCAACAGCACAAAAAAGTAGAGGCATCCAGTAAAGGGACTTAATGTAGCTCAGGTGAGGCCTCGCAGACGCCACTGGGTAAGCTGACTGGGCCATGACACTTGTCAATCAAAGTGGCCCTGCTCTGAACACCAGTAGCAGTAGAAACAAGTATAAGAAAACAGGGATCGATTTTGATTCTTTATCCACTCTGAGTCTAACAATGTTACATGAGCTTCAATGCTACATCAGTGAAGCACTCTTTTAAATGATCTGCTAGTTTTTCCTTTACCTTTACTATTGTGTTGCAATGGGGTTGGGATAGATGAAAGTGTTAGAATTAGGTTTACCGCAAACACATTCACCATTACAGTAAGTGACTCCCATTTAAATACTTGGCACTAAAACACAAACATAAATATATAGTACCTCGTCTGTGTCATATGGGTGTGGTTTAATAGGAAATGAATAACAATTTCAGGATCTTGTAACTGAACAATGTGGAGACTCAACCTGGTCATCTTCCCTATCCATAACCACTGCTTTTGACGGTCTAACCCTAACCAGAGACTTTCTCAACTTATCCTAACCTTAACCTCAGGATCTCAATACCTGAGGCTGAACATGGAATTTGACCTACGCCCAACCATGTTTACTTAGTCTGAGTTGTACATTAAATATAGTTTTAGGTTTTTACCATCATTATGAATGACACACATTTGTGGGACCGTGGGTGACATGTGCATGCCAGTTGAGATTTTGAAGACACTAACTGTGACCACTAACCATGTGACGTTAACTTCTCTGGCATTTTGGATGTGTGGCAATCATGGTGACAATGTAGGATTAACGAACAAGGCCCCATTCACACTAGCCTGGAGGCCAATCTGCAATCATCTGGCAACCGCCAATGAGAGAAAAACATGTATTCTATAGTCAGTTTTGAGTGGTTGCTGGGGTTGGCAGTTGCAAAGGAAAAGATTGTGAAAGCCCCAGTTACACAGGCCTATAGACCAGTCACTGACCCCCTAGTAACCACCTGTCACTAAGGAAAAACACATATTCACAAATAGAGTCCAGATACTCTGAGCTAGAGTGAACAGCAAACCGGAAATGGAGATGGTTCACCTTCAAAGTTAAAGAAAATGCTCTTTGTAGGCAGGTTTTACGAACTAGTAGTCAGTGATTATTTGCTGGAAAACACAAAAAAATCGATCATTAGGTTTTTGGGGCAGCAACTTATTTTACCTAGTGAGAACCAGCAGACTCTGGGAAATGTGTACTCATACAGATTTTTCCATTGGAACTAGTGGTTGCATCATGTCTTAAGTGTATGACTGACAACTCTTGAGCAATGTGTGATGAACTTAATATTATTCAATGGGCCAGACTGGGTAGGTTTGTCCCATCTTCCTGACCCAGTCCACACAAAAACATATTATTGACTAACTGTAATCTCAGATGTTTTCTTGGCTTAAGTTTTGACAGTTTACTTTCCCTGTGACGCCATTTGTTATACCTAAAATAGCTGCCAGACTATTATTTGATCCAACTCAACTTCACTAACCATCCAAATGTTGCTGATATTTCGTTTTCTTTCCTTTTATTAAGTCCAAAGTCATAGCCATATTTATTTTTAATTCTTAAGAGAGACCACCATGTTTAGATGTCTACTAGCTAGTTAACATACTACTAACTTAAAGCAACTACACCTTATGCATATTTCTTTATTTTATATTCTTTATCGTAAGACCTGGAAAACCAGCTACACTGATAATTTTAATACTCTAATGTGTCTCAGTCTTTGTTTTCTTTGTGTAAGTTAAGAGCCATTGGACCCAGAAATGGCTAATGACATCAAATGTAGTGGGTAGGTTTTATCTGTGACCCACGTTGTGGTTCATATCTGAGAACTAGCAAAATATAGATACATTTAAATATTTTAATGCCTCTCTTCATCCTTTTCGATGCTTGTATTCTTTTATACAAATAGTGCCAAAATTACCCCTCGGTACTGTTATCTAAGTAATGAAGAGCACCTTCATTATATCCCAATGTAGCAGCTGAAAACCAAATGACAGTTCTTATGCAGGGTAAACACATTCCAGCAGGTAGCTTCCTGTTATTCTGTCCCCGATGCAAGCATTAGATCGATTAGGTAGTGTTTATCAACACGCAAACCTGCCACAACATCACTGGCTTGAATTTTAAAAAAAGGGGGGGCATCGCTGAAAGCCCAGCCACTGTGTTGCCAGAGCAACGCATTCCCTCTCTCCTGTCCTTTTTCAACAGCACTGGGTCGGCCTCTCTTTAATTCAATTCGCCGTGTCACCGCGAGGCTACGCAGTCTGATAAGCAGTGGCTGTCCGTATCGCGAGAGTACAGCTCAGAGGATTACAGGGAGGCGGTGACCTAATCGCCGTCGCGAGGCGGGGCGAACCGCTGCAACTTTGGATGAACTTCTGATTTGAACAAACCGAGAGGCGGTCGGCGGAGTGCTCGGACAGCAAGAGATACAAAGGTGAAAAGCAGCGGAGGTTTTCTGCTACGAAGCTTTGACAGCCGGTTCCCTTTACAGCAGTTACGGTCTGTGTGTGCGCCGCCGAATGACCAGCGAGAGCGTTATTTTTCCTGTCGAAAAGGTGGAAATTGATAAAGGTGAGTGCGTTCTCTTCTCCGGTTGGTGTGCGTATAGAAACTGGGGGATATTAGATCCATTAGTATTCGGTTAGCCGGATTGTAGCTGCTGTTAGTGTGCTAAAAACCAGTGTGGATTAAGTATTTGGATAAATGCAGTATATTTTAGGTAGAGAAAACAAGGCTGAAAAGTTTAACTGGCGCTCAGGTAACGTTTACGTGGTACTGGCGTGGATTTTATTTCCCCTCCCAGCATGTATCTGATTTTATTACCTGTATCATAACGAGCAGGCTTTCAGCCCCCATTCAGTTAACGGCGTCTTCTTTGACACATGCACGCAGACGCCACAGTTAAAAATTCAGACAGCGATTCACCGTTGCTCTTAAAGACACAGGAAATCTTGCGAAAATGACGATCAGATAAAGGTAATGGTTGTTTGGTTAAGTCTCTCCGTGACTGCTGCATAATTGGGATGGCTAGCCGCAGCCGCTCTAGTGGGTTTCCTGTGTATCCCAACCTATGCTGTCTGTCTTATCATCTTACATGTGGACGCTGCAGCTGGCGTAAAGACTCGTGGGGCCACTTTCATCAGAGAAATGTCTTCTATCTGGGGAAGCAGCTCTTGGTGCAAATGCATGATTTGCGGTGCATTTCTGTTAGCAGGCATTGCTGCTGCCGATTTGAATGGTTTGCCTGGACATCTGCAGCATTTCACAGCTCTGTAATGTGTTGATTGGCATAGAGATCAGTCAGGGATGTGATGAGAGATGCAAAGTTTATTACTTATCCCCGGACTCACGTGTTCTTTCATGATATTACTTGCATGTGATGTGTTATTTTCAGAGCGCAGTGCAAGCTTAGGAACTTGTTGGAAATCAAAAATGAAGTTATTTCCACCTAAGGCTCTGTCAACACCAGTCTCATTAATCAAAATGGCCGTCAGTGTAGTTTAGTCACATTTGAATAGTGATGTAGGAGTGCTACATTTAAGATGCCTCAGAAGCTTGGCTCATCAAACGATTTAACCATGAAGTAAGCATTTCTCTTTTTCTTTTTTTGTATAGGCCAGTTAAGTTTATTAAAGTTTGCTTGTCTTAAAGAGGTTAGTACTTGCTTGTCTGAGATCTCTCTCTGTCACCATGGGGGGTGGTATTGTTAATGGGCCTCCTGTAGATGCTCTGTCGTCTTCTTTTTTTTTTTTTTTTTTTCTCCACCTGTGGAGTCTGCCCCCAGGCTACCAGCGTTACCCCTCCGGGAGGAGGGGGTTCACACACGCACACGCACAGAAACACTCAGCTTCCTTCACTGACAAATCCTTAATGGACACATCAAAGAAATTACATGTCTGTTTGCTGGTTGACTGGGATGGGTCTAATTTTCAACTCGAACAACACAGCAGCACCGCTGGAGATGCTTTCCTTCCACGGCATCATTTGAGCTGCTTTGTCCTTTTTGCTTTGGCTGCTGCAGCAGCTGCGTTTAAAAAACAACAAAAAAAACCCCCAACAAAAAAACCCAAACTCTGATATAGCGGTTGAACATCTCATGCTATCAGCCCTCCCTCGTCAGTGCCTGTGAATGCCAAGGCTGAGCTGATCTGGAAGCTGTGTCGCATTTATAATATTAAGTAGACTATTGAAATTGAGTGTGTAGGTGGAGGCGCACATGTTCTGTCACACGTGTAGTTGCTGAATTTAAAAAAAGATATGAGGGGAGGAAAAGAAATTCAAGCACTGATGGTGGGCAGCTGAAAGATTATTTTAAGTTCTTTGGGATGTTGAAATATCTGCATGTTTTTAGATTAAGCAGCACGAGTTGAATGAATGAGACGGTTGTCATCATGCAGTCAAGATTGTGAGATGCATAAATTATTTTCAACTACTGTGGTTGACAGAGAAAGGCATCCCCCGAAGACTTTAGTGCAGGCTTTGCTAGAAAGCCTAGGTCAGTGTGCATGAACCCTCTCCATCGCAAGCACACAGCAGGGGGTTTCTTTACTGCTTTCAAATAAAGAATTTCCCAGGACCTTGGTGTCTTCTTGTGAGCAAAATCCTGCATTTTAAATAAACACTTCAATTAGGATGTGGTGAAAAAGTCTCAAATGTGTAGTTTAGCCCCGCTTGGGACAGGAAAAGATTTGGAGGTGCTCAAGGAGAGAATCTGAGAAATGCAAAGTGAGGAATAGGAGGACATTTTAATCCCATGACTGGGATACTAGCGCTTTCCCTTTTGACGTGTAATGCATCACTGACAGTATCTGATAATGGGGTCTTACCTGTTTACGACATACCGCGCTAGCCTCACTATGCTCCCCTCCCTTCCACTGTTACTGCCTCATCCTCGCCTTCTGTCTCAGTTCTGTTGCTACTCCTTTACTCCCCACCTCCCACGATTCCTTCCTCCTTTTGCCCATGACAGTGCCTTTTCCTCTCGGCTTGCTTTCTTTCTGTTGTGGATGGCATGCCGGGGACTATGACACACTCTTCATTTCTGTCCACATCCCTCATATTTATCTCTGTCTATTACCACGTCACTCTTTCAGAGTGCCCATGTCGATCCTTTCTGCATTAATCCTGATTCATGATTTATGTTGCTTCTTTTTCTTGAGCTTGCCTTTTGATTTTTTGTGCTTTTGTCTGTCTGTTTTGGTGACTCTTTACATGCTGGAGATTGGAATGTGAGTTCACTCTGTTTAAGGTCTTGGGGTAGGCTGTCTCTTGAGAAATAACAGAGCAAGAAATACTCTGTAACAGTAAGTAGCTCATACTGTAGGGCAGACTGATTGAATAAAACTACTTGGCCTGGCAAAATGGTGTAATACAAAATACTGGGATTCTTACTGAGATGCTGTGCAGACTTTAATCACATTTTGAATTTAAGTCAGTAATACCAGGAATCTTAATTAGCATTGAAAAAAGGATTGATTACCGTATTGATTATCTTGTTGATGGCCCGGACAATAAAGGAACTAGTTAAACAGTGAGACGCAAATGTTTTCAGGTGGTGACTTTTTGCTAACAATTTGGCGGTTGCTTTTCTTTTCTTTCTTTCTTTTTTAAATTTCCTCAGATGCTGCTCTGTGGTTGACAGAAATGTCTCACATTCTAGTCTTATTGATAATCTTATTGATTACATATCTTGAGTAACAGCCTATCAGTGCTCAGCACATATTAGTGTGTGCAACCTAGCTCTTGTGAGCTAGCTGAGCTATTTGAAGGTAAGGTTGCAGTTGGACTAAACATCATAATACTCTCTGCTGTAGTTGTAGGACCATGATTGTAGTCTATCTCATTGGTGACCAACATGCTCACTTCCCCTTTTATACAGAAATGACCAAATAATGAACTCTAATTGGGAACAGAAGTAACATGTAAAGTGACACTAAGAATATACTCTATCAATGACCACATTTATCTAGCAGATGCTGATCTTGTGAAAAAATGAGCCAGAAGTCAAAGCCACTGGTTGAAATAGAGGAAATGGAGGAGTAGCTAAGACATCGCTAATGGCAAAAAGCAGGCAGCAACAGATGAACATCAAACTATTTTCCGACTGATTCACATCAGATGTGCATGTGTTTTGTACAGGCACCTGTTTTGGTAAATAATTTTTAAGTAGTCAACAGAAAGACAGTATCTCCAAATACTTAAATGCAGGGTATGTTAGAAAGCCTGGGTCTGTAAGCTCTTGACACATTGAAGTGCAAGCCAGCATTTTGTTTTCACTCAACAAACAGCCCTTGCGGTGTTTTCTCTGATATGTGAAATTGCCTATCTCTTTTGATCCATGGTCCTTTGCAGAGGATAAATATGAAACCCCATGAAGGCTTTGTCAGGCCTTTTCAAAGCACCCAGAAAAGAAAAAAGGAGGTCACAAGAGGAAGCAGTTACTTTTAGGCATTCCACCTGAGGTGAGGGGACTTGGATCCCTGTCCAGTTCTCCACTTTCCCGTCTGTCTGGTGAAACAACTTTTTAATTAGGGCTGTAAGTGGATTGTAGCAGATGAAAGCACTGTGGATTATAAAGGCTTCAGATTTTAGTTGTGACAAATGAGAGAGGAAAAAAAATCTATAAGCATCAGGGAACAATGACTAGTCAGATTAATCAACATGGAAGTAAACACAACGTACTGTACAAAAGCCTTGAAAGCAAGAACAGCCTAGATATTATAGAATAAACGTATAATCCTTACAAACGATATAAGCCAGGATGGAGATTGAACGTGGAGTATCTTCATATGGATATTGTAATGCTAGAATATTAGGCAGGGATCATTTGTGCCTTTGCTCTCCTTATTATTTCATTGCAATTTGCAGAAATTAGCTTGGAATAAAAACCTAAGATACTACTACATTGGCATCCCCCGGCCTACACACATCAGGTTGGCTGAACATTTTAAGTTTACTTCTTGAATTATCCAAAAAAGCCAGGTTAAATTCCCTTACAATCTAGTTTTGCAGTGTTAACCATTGAATTGATTGCAGTTCTGCTGCAGACTGAATAACTAGCCACCAATTTCACCCATATTCTGTTTTTTTTTTTGTTTTTTTTGTTTTTTTTGTGGATGTCAGTGCTCTCTTCAGACTGATGCCGTAATCTGTAATTATACAGTGTTTTGAGATTGGTGTGAATGGTTAAACAGATACTCCATCTGGCTTTGGGCCTCTGCTCCTGGCCAGGCTTTTAATATTGGTCTGATGCTGCTCAGCTTTGAGTAAACACAAATATTGGTCAGTCTAAATCATGCTAGGAGAATCAATGTGTAAGTTGGTAGCTAACGAATGTACAGTTTCACTGTAATTATGGTCCGCTGTTGGCAAATCCTTCAAATGAGTATTTGACGAAGGTGAAAATGGAAAATCTTGATGCTTCAAAATTGGACTTAAGAAACCAATGGGTTATTTCACAGTAGCTGCATCAGTCTTTTATAATTTTTGTGATGTCCTCCTTCTTTCTCAACTGCTTGTCTGACTTAGGCTACGTTCACACTACAGGCGAAAGCGCATCAAATCAGATTTTTTTGACCCTATGCGACCCATATCCGATCATGGTATGACAGTGTGAACGGCACAAATCCGATATTTTCAAATCCGATCTGGGTCACTTTCGTATGTGGTACTGAATCCGATACATATCCGATGTTTTAGAAAGCGACTGCAGTTTGAATGGTCAAGTCGCATTAAATGTCACTGACACAAGACGGACGCCAATTATCAGCTTTGGAGAAGTGCCCGAGAAGACATCGTAAACGCTTCCTGGCCATCCAGTGTAGATGTCAGTGAAGTTGTTGGGAAGACAACGTTGGAGAAACATGAACATTTTATTTGTACTGTATAATCTGCAGATTCTGACAGAAATCTGCAACAATCCTTTGAAGCACCGCTCCTCTCTTAAACAGCAATAAGGATAATTATTAGGTTATTTA